CCCCCCCCCCCCCCCGAATCCCCTACCCCCTCGAATCCCCTATATCCCTTTCCCAATTGCACTTCCAGTTTTGTTAACATTTTGGTTAAAATTTGACCATAATGTTAACCAAATTTAGAAGTACAATTGGGGACTAAAGAGGTAGTCACTAGACACACAAAGCATGAGATAAGAACTATTTTGGAGTCAAAATGAAGCATCTAAGGACTCTAATGTCATAAGATGATATTGAAAATTATAAAATATCTTTTATCTTTTATACTCCCTTCGTCCCGCAAAAAAGTTTCCATTTTGAATTGTATTTAGTCAAATATTTACACGCTTTGACTACAAATTGTGAAAAAGGTATATTGAATTTTAAATTAATTTAAATATAATTAGATTCATCTTAGGATCTAGTTTTGATATCTCAAACTTTTTTTCTTTATTTAGATTATATTTAATTTATGGTCAAACGTGTAACTGTTTGACCAAAAATACATCAAAATGAGAACTTTTTTATGGGACAGAGGGAGTAATAAAAATGCAAACTCTCTTGGAAAAATTATTTTAAAAAAGTGATACAATAATTCCACCTTCGATGAATAGAGTATAGATCGATACACACACATCTATGAGACTCTGAGTGCGCATAATCCAAAATACCCTTGGCACTATGAGTTACAAAGTTAAACTTTAATTTTCTTCATTTTTTGAGTGCACTATTACATTCTGCAATGTTTGCATCCTAGAGAGTCTTCCTTTTCTTCAGTTTTGGACAATCTTTCTTCTTTTCATGACATAAAACACACGCATCTGTAGTGACGACTAGACCTTTTGGACTTTATAATCTCTCCTTCAGTGGGCATTGACAGCGTCTGGTCACCGATACTTCTTCTAACATCATTGATTTGGTTTTCATTTTATCCTACTTTCTCAATTTATGACTATACAAAGCAGAACAAACACTTTCAACCACGAGTTCTTCATCCCGTAAAGTAATACTCCCTCAGTTCCCAAAAGAAGTTTCCTTGTTAACTTTTTGAGAAATTAAGGGAGATATTTTGATGTTGACTTTCCAAAAATACCCTTGATGTGATGGATTAAAGTAAGATGTGATGGATAGATTAGTAGTAAAAAGGTATGATGTGATAGGTAGGGTATGAAAAAGTAAATGGTAAAAGTGGTTTTTAATAGAAAAGGAAAGGAGATTGTGGGACAAAGAAAAACGAAAGGGAAACATTTTTCGGGGAGGGATGGAGTATAATATAATGTCCAAATATTCAAATTCATCGAAAAGAGATGATAACCAAAGCAAATCCAAACCATCATCCTCAAATTTCACATCTAAAAAAGTACAGTGTATAATTCAATGTTCACTCAAAGATATAGGAATTTTCATGAAATATAACCTGTGTATGAATTGGTGTGCATGTATTATAAAAGTTTACAAGAAAAAAAGTAGTACGGAGTATATGGTAACATATTTTTTATTAATTACTCTATTTCTCTCAAAATTAAGTTTACACTCTGACTTTACATAATTTAAGAAAAATGTTGAACAATTAAAGGTGTTTGGTGACTAGAAATTATAAGTCACACGTTAATTTTTTAAAAGACAAATGGGAAAGTGTAACCTTTATTTAGGTACGGATAGAATATCAGCAACATTGTTAGCACTTCCAATCCAAGTATTCGTAAACAGAAGAGTGGGTCCAAAAAGGTTCCATGGTCTAGCGGTTAGGACATTGGACTCTGAATCCAGTAACCCGAGTTCAATTCTCGGTGGAACCTTATTCTTTTTTCATACGTGTGTACCTTGGGATTTTAGGCTTTTTATCTCAACCTAATGAGATGAAACTATTAAAGTAGGAATCACCTAGAGAAGAACTCATAGAAGAGATAAGAAAACAAGAAGGAATTGCTTGGCGATGACCAAAGATTTCCTATGTCAAGAAGTGGTCGCCGGGAAGAAGATTAGTCCAAGAGCTGTGGAGTTGCAAAATCTTTCAATTTTTTGTCAGATTTTGGACTTAGATTTCAATTTATACCCAAAGCCCAAAATCCATCAAAATCCATATTTTACAAAAATCTATCAAAATCTATTGATTTTTGAATACCATTAAATTTAGAAGGATATATTAAAATCTGAATTGAATACATCTAGATTTTAAGTGAGTTTTTAAAATTTGAATTGAATACCCACAGACTTTTGAAATCTAAAAAAATACTACAGAATCCGAATTGAATACACCCCCCTAAGACACATAATATTACACATATAACACTCCTTGTTATTTTTTACATATTTATCTATTTATAGTGTGGATCTCTTCCAATCATATCTTTTTTGGCAATCTGGAATTATGATGGTATGCCTACACTTTCTGGCAGTGTGTTATATCCATGTTATGGGCAATGTGTTATGGTTCACAATATTTAACTATACTTTCTGGCAGTGTGTTATGCTCATGTTCTGAAAGTGTATACCAACTTAAACACATTTTTTGGTAGTGTGGAATGATCATTCTTTAACAGTGTGGATACATTTTATATTGGATATGACGGCCGTGTGTTATGCTTATGTTCTAGAAGTATATACCAACTTAAACACATTTTTGGGCAGTGTGGAATGCAAGGACAAATTTGGAATTGCATCCACACAAGTTCCAATATCCATAGCAGATTAGCAGTGCTATATTGGGTACTTTAAGCATATATTAGTGCTATGACGGTAGTTCTCCTCTATTAAAGTCACAAATATAAATTTTACTCCCTCCCGTCCTAAAGTTTTTCCTGTCTTGATATTTTTGTGGAATAGTGATATTCTTTTACTATAAATTAAAAATAATCTAAACAAATAAATGATATAAAAATTTGATATTTCAGAACTATATATTAAGATGAATCCAATTATATTACTTTATTACAAAGGATCATTTTGGGAATTTACATTTTATATTATAATTAAATTTACTTTTCTCAGAGTTCGTGGTCAAAGAATGTCACTATTTGACAAAAAAAAATTTTAAAAAAATGTTTTGTAAGACCGGAGGGAGTGCAAAATTTACAAATGACAAGTTTGTAAATAAAATTCATACGAAGTATAATACTTTAGCAGTATTATACTCTACGAGTATTAGATTACATTAGAATGCAATTTGTACTACTTTTGTCTCAATGTATTTGTCTAGTTTGATTTTTTTAGTGAAATTAGACAAATTTTGAGTTTCAATTACTCTCAATTGTATTCCATATTAGTATAATGCAATAAATTGTTAAAAGTTCCCAACTAGATTAATGCAATGAAAATATTTTTATACTAATATACATTATAAGTTTTTTTAATTGAAGTTTAAAATCCATCATGTTTGACTTGAAAAAGTCAAATTAGACGAATATATTAAGGAGAGAGCATATTTCACATGTAATAACAAGCTTCTCTTAGTTTAATTTTTTATACAAGTTCCTGAACTTTGTAATATTTTGGTGCACTGATCAACTGAATAATAAATACTTGTAACAACATCGCATATTCTCAGAACAAAAAGAACCCCATATATGAAAATAATTTCAGTCAAATATCGTGAACCATAACATGCAATTTATATTGGAACGGAGGGAGTAGCTTATGTACAAAATTAGGATCTGGAGTGGATGTAATAATATACTAGTACTCCTTTCAATAATATAAGTCTTAGAATTTGCCACAATTTTTAATCAATATTAATAATTCAATATGGTGTATGGGGTTTTTTTGGTATTTTTAATAACTTTTTTACTATATGTGAAAGGGAACAACCAAAGAGAAAAATTCCAAGAAGAAATATTAAACTAAATCCAGAAAACTTATGCTCAAGGATCCTTTTCTTTAATACACTTTCCGTATGGATTTAGTCTAATTTTGCTAATATAGTTCAAAAAATTAAGCTAAATGTCTATACCCAAACAAAAAGTGTATTTTTTACGCAAATTTAAATGATTTATTCTTTACTCCATATATTAAAATATATGTTTCATCCTGATTTAGTTATCTACTTTCTTAGTTTAATTTGTTTAGAATTAACTACTTACTTTCTATGTTTTGTAAATACATTAAAATAAATTGCCTAAAACACTCTACACACAAGCCTTGTTTGAGAACAATGTTTTTTTAAGATTTTAGATAAAATTTTAAAAAATGTAGATTAACTTTGAAAAGAGTAAAGTTACCATAATGTTTTCAAAACGGTAACTCTAATATCTCATACTCTAAAAAAAATACATCCTAAAAATCCAATCAAATACCGATTACAATTGTAAAAGAATATGATACACTTGTTGAGGCTGATTCACTTGGCACAACAACAAGGGGGGTTGATCATGCCACCATTTCATGGCAGAAAGTGAAGCATGGGAATAAAGATAGAAACAAAGCCAGTTGAAGAAAATGGATTTTTTATATCATACAATCCTTTGCACAACAAAAATGATAATATCATTGCACTGACATACAAAATACAGACAACATTTGATAGCTGCAGGATTGAATTCATAGTACATACAAACACACACATTGGCATCAGTCTTAGATTCTACGGCGTGATGAATGTCTCCCCCGATTAGGACTTGGCAGATACACAAATCTGTTGAGATCCATTTCCCTTGGTGCCCTTTAAAATTAAGGTGAAGTTAGATGATACTCCATTGTAGAGAGAGAGAGAGAGAGAGAGTGTGTGTGTGTGTGTGTTTGCATCTCCAAATAACAATCCATTAACGTCCCATGAGAGGGGTCTATGAACGGTGGGTACGTAGACCCTACACCTACCTACAAAGGTGACCAAGTTGTTTCTGAAAGACCCTCAGAAAAAAGAGAGTAAGAAAGCAAAGAAAAAGAAAACCCCGCGAAAATAAATTTACCCGTTTCTGCTTGCATTCTTGATATCTTTCAATGGGGCACGAAGACCGCTGGCACGAGAACCATTTGAGGTGAATGCAAAAGAAGATATCACGGAAACAAATCTCTCCATTGATTTTTTGGATATTTGACAGTAATTTCCCAAATGAGATAGGTTAGAACCAAACTTCTCATCCTCAACATTCACTTCATTGGCAGAAACATTGTCATCATCTTCAGAATTACTCTTACTTAGACTGTTTGGAGAAGAATCAGTAAAGATACGACGACTAGCTTTTACAGTGTCCTGCAGTATAAAAAAAAAGAACAGTAAGAAACATTTCAATGTTGCACATTGCAACTCTTTTTTCAAAGGGTACTTACTTTTTGAATGGCATTGCTGAATGTAACTTTTCGCTTCCCCAGTTTTGGTTTATTATAGTGAAGGGGGTTCTCAGGCATCTTTCTTTCATCAATCTCGGAAGAAATGGCATCTTCTTCTGGTAAAGGATCTCCATGTTCTTCGGTTGGACTGTTTCTGTTTAATGGGTTCTGATGCTGAAAATATGAGCTTCTGATAATGCCTCTCTTGTTTTCTGGTTTCATTTCACTTTCATCTGCACAAAGGTTGGAAAATGATTTTCCTGTAGTTGTAACATAATAATAACTAAAGCTAATCACACTATATATGGCACTGACCATTTTCGTCAGCAGAACTATGATGAAACTTGAAACTCAGTGTGGTTTTCGGACAAACTGTGTTCATTTCCCCTTCAATTGCCTCTGAAGCTGAAGGGCATTCTTCAGCAGAGGAAATGGTATTGGATTTTTCAGTGGCAGACTCGTCCAGTTCGTTTCCATTTTCCTGAATATTTTCCTTCCCAATCTCCTTAGGCAAAAAATATGAACTTCTTACAACTACTTTCCCATTCTCCATTACGGTCTTGTTTTTGGAAACTCGGTTCTTATGCAACAGAACACAAGGTTTGCAGATGGAATGTTGAAATGGAGTCCGCTGCATTCCTTGACCATCTCTCAATCCTTTTTTCTCATGATGTCCTATATCAAAAAAATACGGGGGGGGGGGGGGGGGGGGCNATCTGCCTCCCCATGGTTTGGTTACCAAATGATCATAGGTTCTTTAAAATTACAAAATAAGCCCCATGACCAACCACCTCTTTTTAACTTTGAGGATAACAAAATTTGGGATTAATTACATTTGCCTAGTTTTCCGAAACCCCAAGGTTTGTTTGGTAGTTCGACCAAACCTCAAGGAGATAAATGCAATTAACCCAAGAATTTAATGGCATTGACAAAAACCATAAAAATCAGACTGAATTTGTGTTTTCAAAGTATTTTATAGGCTAAAACATTCTATGAAAAAATTATAAAAAATGGATCTCTAAAACAGTGGAGAGCCATTTAAACCAGAAAAGCTCAATACCTACTTATATCATTACCACTCATCTTGTGGTGTTGTTTGTTAAGCCAGGGGTTCATTTGTGATTTCAAAAACCTCAAGGGCCATTTGGTAAATTACACTACACCCCGGGAGAGGTATATGTAAATAAACCTGGTTTGCTCTTCAGAAGTTTCTAGTGTTTAAACATCCTAAAAATGGATAGAGTAAATGGTTTGTTCCTTACACACTCACCATAACCAGTTGACTCCAAATGGCAATCCCTTGTTGCAGTAGTACCATCCACCTAAAGAAATGAAACAATTTCTTAGAGAAATGCTTGACAAGAATCCAACAGCTGATATATATATATATATCCAACAGCTGATATATATATATATTTATATATATATATATATATATATATATATATATATCCAACAGCTGATATATATATATACACACACACAGACACACACACACACCAATATATTCACATTGTTTTCCTCTAGATGAACTGATGAGCTCCTTAGTTCACTCGAATCAGCTTCCATCTGACGGTCCAGCAATGCAGTAGATGATCCATCTGCATTTGAATCAATAGGGGTGATCCGTGGGACTCTGAATTTTTGCTTAGCTTCAAGGGAAGCGATACCTTACATTGCTAAGGACATCAAACCCTTCCCAAACATAACTTACTATAACTAAAGCAAATACATAAGGATTAAATTTAAAATCATTAATGTCAAATAATAAAAGTTATGCTTACAATTCTTTCAAGTGAAGGGGAACCAACTAAGTCAATACAAAAAATAGTTTCAGCATAAAAGAGAAATAACAAATAGAGAGAGCAAGCCAAGTATGAACAAAAAGGATACAAAAATAGTTGGTCAGAAGATTCTTTTTTGCAGGCAGATCAAACTTTTTCCTTTGATGGCCTTCAAGCTTGAAGTTCTTGGGTTGATGAGTTCGGCCATAGTACAATTCATCACCACTGATATCTTTCTGTTGATTTAAAATTCAAAACATTAAAATATAATATTGACAAAAAAGAAATAAATAAAGAACAATTATAAGCGAATGAGAGATATGCCATAAAACACTTTGTAGGTCTCTACTCCACCTATGAATCAAATCAATACCTGAAATGGCATTTTAGTTAAAGGATCAAGCTCACCATTAGCTATACCCGTAGCTACTTCTGGGGTTAGCACTGTATTGTGGGTTAAGGTACAAGACAAATAGATTCAAAACGAAATTGAAATATACGCTTTTCAGATATATTTAGAATGAAATATGCAGGCTTTTGAAAGGATATGGGCCTAGGAACTCAAGATCTTCATCAGTGCCATCAGGTATGTCAGATAAGTGAACTAGAGCTTCGGAAACAGGATCATAAACCCTTTGATGCAGGAAAGTCATAATTGCTTTCTTGAAAGATTCCTCATAAAGTGGAGGAACTGCAACAGTATTGTATTTCAAGTGTTTAATAACCTGAATTAACAACGACATTCAGTCTACATATGAAATGGGATCCAACAGATTTTGAAAGGACGTGTAGAATGTTACGAAGTAATTACTAACAATAACTTCTTCTTTTTTCCACATGAATTTTAACCGTTCTCACCTTGTCATAACTTCTGAACTTCTTGATCAACGCATGCGCCCTTTTTAAGCCCATCCCAGGCAAAGACTGTAAATAGTCACATCCACTCAATATGCACATTTCAAGAACCATCTGCTTTGTGAAACCAGTAAAGTTTAACTCCTTGTTCTGTCTCAGCATGGAGAACTGGAATTCAACTCCTTGCCCATACTTGTCCATTTTGTAAATGATCTATATATACAAAGCTATTAGAGCACAATTATGAAGCATAATAGTAGAACAAAAGTAGGTAAAGACTCAAAAGTTGTCATATTCTCTCTTAAAACACAAGGCCAACAGCTTACTCTAGGACAACCAAAGGCGATTAAATCTGAGTCCTCTGTTATAACTGCGTCAACCTGTTTGCTGACAGCCAGTAAGGTCATTTCAGCATCTGCCTCATATGGGGCCACAACATAGCGTACACTTTCCTTTTTTAAGACCTTCCATGCACAAATAGATGACAATAAGTAGTTTACCACACATAACATACAACAACCACACAAAACATATGGGATTATTAAAATTTTTACTACGTATTATGTTATTCACTACCTGTATCAGGTCATAAGCCACTGAAGGTGATATGTCAACGGCCTTTTGGTAGCACTCATAAGCAGCAGTCTGATTTCCATTAGCTTCATGCTCAATGGCCCGAGATAGGCTTTCCTTCCTTGACCTGTTCTCAAAAAGAGTACAAAAGTTGTTTAATAGTCCCTGATTCTCTTCATTTTTTTGGGGTAATAATCAATGATAATCATAATAATAGATTATGTTCCACTTCCATACCCTTGCAACTACAGAATCTAGGAGCATAAGGTCATTGCAGAGAACATTAGGACATGATGGCATCACACAAAAAGCAATAGTCTCAAAGGGTTAAAACTAGGCTAGGATGCAAGGAGGTGAATTAGGCATCCAGCAAACTAATAAATTACAGTAGATCAACAAAACACAATCAACAAAAAAAAATGATGTGACACCAAAAGAAAGAAAAAATACTACACACTTAATTTGTATGGATACAATAGATCTCATGAGGACTAGAAGTGGCACTTATCACCCTTATGCATCCATATGTATAAAAGGGCATGTCACATCGATCAGAAACGGATAACACAATATGTTCTAAATCAAAAGATACTTAAAATGTATCAAATTGGATGCACTGAACTGAGGGCAATTTGACATTTTGAACACAACTTATTGGCATAAACTTCAAAAAAAAATGAAATGTATGCACCAAATGGAAGGCAACTTGACAAATTGAACAACACAAACTGAAAGAAGTACCTTGCACGCTTAGTCTCTTGCTCACCCTTCATCGGCAAAAATCCTCCATCAAACACCATAACAGGCTTAACACCATAATGCCGCAACAAGTTTACTCTATGCATGCAATAGTTAATATGCCTGTCAAACATTAGTTAAGTCCCAGTTAGATTATCTTCACATGAAAAAATACGGGTTTTTAAATAAAAACTTTCTTGAACTACCAACTATCAATGTTCAATTCGACTGCTTGAACACTTAAAATTGAAAACAAACTATGTTTACTGATCGTGCACCCATCCAACCATCAACTTTACAAATAAAACAGATTTCTGTCTACACATTTACATTCAAGAAGAAAGGTATCAGCACAAGAATGAAAGGCAATTTGTACATCGCATTGCAAAAACAACTATAAAAATCGTTTATTTATGCATAGTCACCTGATTGATTTAGATGTATACATGATGGGCAATGGGCATTCACATTGGTTTGGAAATTTCAATTACATATGGGAGAAAAAATAGAAAGGGGAAAAAGATTGAAAGAAACCCATAACTTTATATATCCATTTGAGTACCCAATTACCAATTAATTGTAAGGGTATGCATAAATAGATCTCCGCAGTACCCTTTATGCATAGATAAATCAAGAACAAGTAAAAAATATACTCCGAACATACTTAGAAGTGGGAATGCCCTTGCAGAGTTCCCTGCTGCAAGAGACAGCGCCCTTGTGGAGCCAAGAATAGGTGTCCACTGCAACGCAGCAGCCCTCCAAGTCTTTGATGTGAATGGGCAACATTATCGATTTCAACAATGGCAGTAGTCCCTGAATGCCCATTTTTCTCGACCCGCCGGCGATGGAGATTACTGGGTCTGAGTTCAAAATCCTCGGAATTGCGTTACAGCTGAAATGGTTCTTCAGTTCTTGGTGCCCTAATCTCTTCTGGCGATTCAGGTTTTGGGGATTTAAGGGATGGGAAATGGAGGGAGTTCAGGCGGGAAAATTGGGGTAACTTGGAAATTCTGCGTATATGGCAGAAAAAATACGTCTTTGTATTCCCCATAAAAATGAGCCCTCGTTTACACTAAAACCCCATTCATTTTGGTCTAAGAAATTTTGATTTAAGAGGGAAATTTTGATTTAAGAGTGGGTATATATCATATATACTTTTTATACTAATACATTTCTCTTCTACATCTTCTACATTGGCGTCACATTACACTGTACAAGCTTCATAATTTTCTTATTTTAAGTAGGGATGCACATAAACAAATTTACGAATTTATCACAACTACTTTTAAATAGGAGTAATTAACTTAAACTTGTAATATAAATTAATTTGAAAATAGTTTTTAAACAATTAAATTTAATAAATAATATAAATAAAAATTCAAATATATTTTTAAGTAATTAAAATAAACAAGATATTAAAGTAATTTATATTAAAATAATATTTTTAAGTAAATAAATATAGAAAGAATATAAATTAAAGTTATATTTTCACGCACGTGATGCAATGTTGAAAACGGTAGAGAACCAAAGCACTGATGAAATTGTGTAAAATAGATACTCCGATGTCCTGTGATTTAAAATTTGAAAAAGGAAGAGCTATATTTGCAAATAGAAGTTCTTAAATTATCGATGAATGTATTTAATTCTAATAATCAATTTAATTTATTAGGTTAATAAAACTTACTCAGTAATTTAAATAGGCCGATTATTTTTTTAGAGAGCAAAAGTTTAATTTTTGAAAGTGTAAAATTTAAAAAATGGATATTAAAAATATATAGATTGTATTTTAATGCTTGTGTGTGTATTTTATTGTAATTATTAATTAAAAGAATTTTTAAAAGAATTAATTAAAAGCATCTTTTAATTATGTATGCAAATGGTAATATTAGTGTGGAGTATATTTGGCATACTCATACACTCTCTTACCCAAACAATTTAGTATCAAAGTACTAGAGGTGGTGTACCATCTATACCAATTCAATTTGTCACATAGATTCATTTTGGTACCAAATACAATTTACTTCTCCCAATACCATGCACCCTTGTATAGTTATAGATAAGGTTGTAAACGAATCGAATCGAAGCGAATATCATAATATTTGAATTTGTATTTGATTAATTTTTTCGAATGCGAATCCGAATACGAATATAAAACGAACTAAAAATAAGATTTGTATTTGTATTTGATTAATATTCGAATAGTTAACGAATCCTAAACGAATATTTGAATAATCATAGTCCGTAATTTATATGTCGATTTTGAATAATTTAACGTACAATATTTCTTGTACCATATCTAAAACTATTAATACATTTTTGTCTTACACAAATTATATTTTATAAAATATAACTATTAAAAATTGCATGCTTTAATTTTTTGTATTACGTTAATATAATGAAATCTTAGTAATTTAAATGCATTTTATATTATACTAGTTTGTTTGATTACTGATGTTGAAAACATGGTTTGTGTATATAAATATATTCGAATATTCGAATATCATCCGAATCGAATACACCTCTATTTGTATTTGTATTTGTTTAATATTCGAATCAAAACTAATATTTGAATTTGAATTTGTATTTGAATAACGCGAATTCGAATCATCATATTCGAATACGAATCACGAATCGAATTTAAAATATTTGATTTCTTTACATCCCTAGTTATAGAGTATCATTTACAATATGAAGTCTCGCCCACTCCATTCTCTGGCGCATCATAATTTCTCTCCTTTTATGCACTCTGTATCAGGTCAAAAACCAAAACACTTGCAATGCTATCGTTCTTTCGGCCCGTCGCTCCATTTATTTTACTTGTTCATTATTTTAAATTAAAAATTAGATAAATAAAAATAAAATACATATAATTGAAATAAAAATACTAACCACGACACTCTTTATTTAAAAAAAATATGCTGAAATAAAATTTAAATTGAAAAAAACATCAAAATTTGAGAAAGATGAGGATATATTGAAAAGAAGAGTGAGATGAGATTAAATGTAGCATAAAGTAAAAAATGAAGAAGCGATGATTTATAGAGTTGTAATTAAAAATAAAATTTGAATCCGGACACGGCAAAGGATTTCAATGGATGAAGTCGTTCTGCACGAGCGCTGACATGCGCTGCAGCTTCCGACTCGGCTTCCCTACTGCAATGTGTTACTGTCGCACACCCCGCCCCAAGTTCTAGTACAGTGGTTTTCTTTTGGAGCACTTGCAGAGGCGGACCCACCTTGAGTCCTATGGGTCCCGGGACCCCACGGACCCCGGTGTAGGTCCATATAGGTAATAGGTTTGTAAATATAATTAATATATAAACTATGCGTAGCGGCATGTTAACAGAGTGGTGCTTGGTTCAGTGGGAGCGCGCGTCTCATCCCAATAACTCTTGAAGCTCGAGTTCGACTACCATTTCTGGCTTTTTTATAATATAGTCAGTTTTTCCTTATTTTTAAAAAAGAGCATGGAGTTTATACTTTATAGTCTGTTTTTTCTTTTTTTTAAAAAAAAACTAAAACGCGTAACCCCTATTTTCTTTGCAAATTTGACCTCTCTTCCCCAATTCTCTATTTTAAATTTTAATTTTGAATCCCACCTTCGTCTTTTAGAGTCGGTTTTTTCTTTAAAAAAACGAGCATGGAGTAAAACGACGTCGTTTTGCGCGTAAAATTTAGTAACCCCTATTTTCTCTACAAATTTGACCCCTCTTCCCCAATTCTCTATTTCGAATCTTTAATTTTGAACGCCAACCTTCATCTTTTAGAGGCAGTTTTTTTTTTTTTAAAAAAGAGCATAGAGTAAAACGGCGTCGTTTTGTGCGTAAAATTAAAACGCACAACCCCTATTTTTTCTACAAATTTGACCTCTCTTCCCCAATTCTCTATTTCAAATTTTTAATTTAGAAACTTAATCTTCGTCGATTCTCCATCTCTTTCCTGTCGCCAACCGGCCTTTGTTCGCCGTGCTGCCGAAGTTCGACCATTGTACTAAAATTAATTTTTATGGTAGTTTGAAATTTGATATATGATTAGTAATATATAAATATATAATAATTTATATATTTATTTTTTATTCATTACTTATTCTTAAAAGAATCAAAGATTTTTCTTCAATAAAAAATTGATTTAGGATTGCAAGTGATAAGTATTATTGTATTAGTATTCATTTTATGTCTAATTTATGTAATTAATATTATTTTCGTATGACTTTATTTCTATGTATTAATTATGATATTTTTCAAATATTAGTTTTAGTTTATTGTTAAATGTTAAGACTTATGAAATAGTTTGATATGAGAATCGGAGGTAGAGGACCCCATGGTTGTAAAATCCTGGATCCGCCTCTGAGCACTTGCAAATGCTCTTACGCTCTGTTCTTTTAGATTCTACCCCATAGTTCTTATTTTTGATATTCTCAAACTTTTACAAGTCTCTTTCAACTCTTTTCAATATTTTTAATTCATAATACCTTTCAATTTCTTTCAGTTTCTTCCAACAAAAACTTTAAAAAATTTAAGTATATTTTCCATATTATTATTATTGAAATTAAAATATTTTGAATGGCATGACAATATAAGAAAGAATCGAAATCATTTCGAGAAGACAAATATGAAATGTTCACATGGATAATTTTCTATTTGAATACAAAAAACCAAAATGCCACATGATAAGATTTTTGACTACATACTCCACATCTATATACTCCGTATTAAATTCTACTTCTGTTTTCCTATTAAAAATATGATTATTATGAGGAAACTTATTCCTTTTAATTATCTAATTTTTTTAGTTTTATAACTATAAGTTTCTAATGTGAAGGATTCCTACTTTGGAGAATCACAGAGCATACTTCTCATAGTCTTTTTAATAAATATTTTATTTGTATATATGAAGCTCTTTGACCAAATATACCTTTGGGAAGAAAAAGATTTTTGAGATTCTGAGCAAACTCGTGCTTACAACATGTTAAGAAATGAGAGAAAAAACTCAAAGATTAGAGAGAGATATGTTTCTGAGTTCTATTGATCTTAATCTTAATATTCGGGTAGTATATTTGCAGGGGTATTAAGTCTCTATTTATAATGGAGAAGTTTAGTATGAATACAAATACAAGTGGGAAGGATTATACACAAATACTGCTCTACAATGGATGTCTTAATCTACTATTCTAAAAAATATGTTTAATTAATTGAATAAATTAACAATCATTAATTTCATAACAACTTCTAAAATTTGATTTTTGTAGTCAATAAAGACAGTAATGAAAACCAATTGATATGTATGAAATTATTGTTGCATAAGGGAAGATTATGCTTTAATTACAAGTTATAATTAAAAAGAAGTTGAGCATGAGTTTGAAATTGACATGGGAAAAATGTGAATTTATAATTAGCATACAGAGTAATTTTGAATCAGAAGAGTTTGGTCCAAATTCAAATCCAAAATTTCTAAATTTCCAAACAAGTAATTTGGATGAAATCCAAGTTTAAATTTTAAATTCAAATTTCCACACACCATTAAGCACTTTGAAAGAATTTGATATGTTTTGTTAGTGTTGTGGAAAAAAACTACGGAGTAGTTCCGACAATATTGATTTTGATCAGAACTCTATCTTCATCACAAATTTTTTTATAATTGATTTTGTCAATTGCAACCTCACATTAGTTTCACAAGTGATATATCAGCTTCAACTCTGCGTTTTGAAGGGCGTCCAAAAATTACAAAATTATTTGTAACCCAGTCCCTTAAAAATCCATCCAATCGATTTTATGTCCCTTTGAATAATTAACAAGGAGAAATAAGCATTGCAATTCATTCCAAAGGACCAAACAGGAACACTTGAAAAGCAACACTTTAAAGTAAATAAATAATTTCCACCAACCAAAAGGCAGCATTCACAAAACAAGAACAAAAAAACAGAGCTCCAAGCAATCCTACTAAACAACTAACATAAGATGCAGTGTAAATAAATACTCAGAAGAACATTTCCCAGGGCAATACCCAGACAACATTCACTTGATTTCAAAAGTCAGACTCATACTGTGTACCGATTCTTTGCGCCCCTATCAAGTTTCTTGGCATCATCCTACAAAAAACGATTTTCATAATAAGGAAAAAAAAAAA